GGCTGCAATACTATTGATTTGGATTAGAGTTGAAAGGAAAAGTCATATTCTCCGAGATAACTTCTGAAGTAGAAAGCTCAACTTGAGTAAACCTGAAGGTTTGATTTCAGAGTGCATTTTCTATTATTTGTTTTGAGATTGGCTGCTTTAGGCCTGGGTTCTTATGGTATAGGCGTGTTTTCCCAGCCAGTTTCCTTCTCTCCAAAGATACTTTTTCTCACCATGTTTTTCCCTTTTATTAAACAAAAGTTTATTTACTGCTCTGTGTTTCCATCTGACAGCATGATTTCTACATGCAGTAGCTCTGCCTTTATTTATCATGTGCTGTTGATGTAGCTCATTTAAACCAAATTTTCGATGTGTTCTTTTGCTCTGTGAGCACAGGGGCCAAATTCATTCCTGGTTTGACACAGTGAATGGAATGAAATCAGCAAAGCTGAATTTGCCCTGTGTGGGTTCAACACTGGGTACCCCAAACAGTGCAGTACTTGGTGGTTTGAATCTTGTTAAAGATAAATATTATTACAATAGCATAGAAGTTTAGTGATTTTACACATCTTTCTCTAAAGTTGAAAATTTCTATGTTCCTCTATATTTCTATTTCCAAGTCTGATGTGTGTCAACAACTATCTGGTTCCTCAGTGCAACGCAATCTCAGCCATGACTGAGCATGTCTCTGTCTGTTGAAGATGAGTTTTATCTTTTGTCACTTGACCAATCTCTCCCACTTTTTTTAATCAGAAATGTTATGAATCTACCCCTCAGCAACGATACACGCTGTGTTCTCCTGCTTACTGTGTCTGTTCTTTGGAGCCTGGGTCCTTAGACACTTATTAAAAATGCTTAATAACAGGCTTTATTTGAGTTTTTTAGAAAGAATCATAGAATCCCAGAATGGTTTGGGTTGGAAGGGAGCTTAAAGCTCATCTAGTTCCACCCCCTGCCATGGGCAGGGACATTTCTCACTATCTCAGGTTGCTCCAAGTCCCATCCAACGTGGCCTTGGACACTTCCAGGGATGGGGCAGCTTCTCTGAACAACCTGTGCCAGGGCCTCCCCCAGGAAAAATTCACTGGTGGTGTTTCAGGGCATTATCCCAGAGGAAGCTGAGCAGCCTGGCTGGGATCCAACACAGCACTTCATTAACTCCAGAGGAATACTTTAGGCCCATGAGGCTGTGAGTGTGTGTCAGGCACTTTGTTGGGTTGATTTCTGAGACACTGCTTTGTGGGACTCAGCCCAGTTAATTATTTTGTTACGGTCCCATCACTCTACACACTCCCAAAATATCTGTCTTGTTCTATTTCACATGTACCAAACTGCTAAGAATGGGCTCTGAGCAGTGTAAAAATCCATTCAGGTGTGCAAACAGTACCCTGTTCCCTCCAGGGGGTTAAATAATTTCATCCTTAATGCCTAAAAAGAGCAATGTTTTAAGAGCTTCTCCAAAAATCCCAGGTGAAGTAAAAAGCTCTACCTTTTAAAAGGTCACACTGGCTGGGTTATTGTGCCAAATTTAAATTATACAGACTGAAAATAGAGACACTTGTAAAGTTAGTGGCCTCCTTTTAAAATTTACAACCCTATTTCTATAATGGGAAAGAGTTTTTAAATTAGTTTTGTGAATTATTACTGAATGCAGCATTTTGTATCACAAAGAGCAATCTGGCATTTCCTTTCCAGCAGGTCAAATTTTGTTCAGCAGCAAAGGATTACTTATGTGTAAGTAAGGAATGAAGCAGAGCAAGGAGCAGGAGTTGATCATTCTGGAAAATCTGATCCCTGGCCTGCATAAGGCAGGATATCCCAGCTGGGTGGGAATGAGCTGGACTGAGTGAATGCTGAGTATTGTTTTTATACCTAGAACGTTGGCAAAAATGAGAATCATTTTGTTACTTCCCCGTGAGCGTGGGTGACAGACCACTGTGGTGTTGTGTGCCTGCAAAACTGTGATTTTAGTCTATATTAGATATTACATATTGCAGTTTCCCTGTGGTTGTAGTGTGATGAGAAATTAGCACTGTGGCATCCACTGAAAGCCACGAGCAGGCAGATACACCTCTTGCATCTGCTCCTGTAGGTTCTGCCCAGATGTTCCCTGAGACCTAGAGGAGGAAAAACCATTGCTTTAGCATGAGAAAGATCTATACTTGACCCCCTCCTGTCTATTCTTCCTCCTCCAAAAGAACAGTCCAACGATTCCTGCTTATACCACTCCTGACTGCAGAGTATATGCTCAAAAATGAGATTCTTCTGAATATATTTGCCTTTTTCTTCTCCCCTGTACTTTTAAATCTTACATTGTTGCTCTTCACTATGTTACTTTTTCCTTAATATCAGATATATTGTCTTTCCTTGGTAAATGCTGTCAGGCATTAGAGAGAAGGATGCAGTGATGTGGTTTAAGGGGATGATTTTTCTACAGTCCCCCTGGTTCTTGCA